CAAATGCTAGAATTGCTCAAGCAGTTTTTCTACAACTAGCACCTGTTGAAAAGCTAATTTCAGTACCAACTCAAGAAAAACATGGTGAAACTGAAAGAGGAACTGATAATTTCAGTTCTACTAACTTGATTGTAAGAAAAAACTATTTTATTCAACAAGTATTAGAGAAATCAATTATACAACAAAAAGAATTAACTGTTATACAACAACAGTTACTAAATAATCTTTTGAAGATATATAAAGATATTTTTATACAAGAACTCAGTAAACTTGGATGTATTCAAGATGTTTAACATGTAATAAATACTGATGGAGCTATTCCAATCAAATAGTGTTCATATAGAGCAACAATTCCAGACCAAGAATTCATTGCTGAAGAGATACAAAAAATGCTTAAAGCTGGAATTATACAATCTTTTATAAGTCTCTGGACCTCTTCAATCATTATAGTATCTAAAAAGAATGAAAAGAAATGACTTTGTATTGATTATAGAAAGTTGAATTCAGTCATTCAAAAAGATGCATATCCACTTCTAAGAATTGATGAAATGCTAGACAATCTTGAAAATTCAAAATGGTTTTCAACTTTGAATTTATCTTCTGGATATTGGCAAATACCAATAAAAAAACAACAAATCAAAAAACAGCTTTTATTTCTAAACAAGGCTTGTTTGAATTCAATTTAATGTCTTTTAAAGTATATAATGGATCTGTAACTTTTCAATAAGCTATGGACATTATTTTAACTGAATACAAGTATCAATTCATATTGGTCTACTTGAATGATATTAATATTCATTCTCAAATATTTAATGAACATTTGGAACATTTACAAAAAGTTTTTGAAAAACTTTGTAAAGCTGGACTTAAACTCAATCCAGAAAAATGCAATCTATTTTGAAGTGAACTACTATTTCTTGGACATATAATCACTGCTAAAGGAATTTCATCAAACCCATCAACTGTTGAAAAGATCAAAAACTTTTCTCAACCCAGAATAGTGAAACAATTGAGATTTTTTCTTGGACTAGCTGAATACTATAGAAAGTTTATTAAAGATTTCTTACAAATAGTATCATTATTGTTCAAATTACTTCAAATAACATTACTTTTATATAGATACAAGAACAAGAAAGAGCATTTCAAGAACTCAAACAAAAATTCATTTTAGTATTCATATTAATTTATTCTGATTTACATGAAAATTTTACTTATACACTGATGCTTCTGATTATGAACTTGGAGCAGTATTAGCTCAACGAGATGCTAATAGAAAAGAAAGAGTTTTTACATATGCAAGTGTCACATTAAAATCAAGTGAAAAGAATTATAGCACAACTGAAAAAGAAATTTTAGCTATTGTATGGGCAGTTAGACAATTCAGATACTACTTTCTTGGAACTTTATTCAAAGTAACAACTGATCACAATGCATTGAGATAGTTATTTTACAAACAATCAAATTCTGGACCAAGAATTACAAGATGAATTATGGAAATGATGAAATACAATTTTATAGTCACACATTGCTCTGGAAAAGTCAACCAAAATGCTGATGCCTTATCATGACTTAATTAATAGATAATTATGAAATTAGAACAATATTCAGCACTAGTTAATTATTTAGAAATTTTACAATATCCTGTAGGATATTTGGAAAAAGAAAAACAAAGATTACAACAATAATTCAAATACTTTTTAGTTATCAATAAATAATTATACAAGAAAAATTGAAGAAAAGAACCAGCAAATCCTTTAAAAATTTTGAGAATACATGAAACTGAAGCAATACTCAAATACATGCATGAAGACATATTAACTGGATATTTTGGATAAAATGAAACATATCAACGAATTGCAACAAAATATTGGTGGAATGAAATGGGTACTACTATTAAAGATTTTGTAAAATCTTGTCCTGTTTATTAACTTACTGGAACAAGAATCACAAAAACACTATTACATCCCATTAAAATTGGATAACTATTTGAAAGAATTATAATTGATTTAGTTGAATCCTGTTCAATCACAACACAAGAAAATTGATATATTGTGACAGTAATTAACTATTTTACTCGCTGGTCTGAAGCTAGAGCAATACCAAACAAACAAGTAATAACAATTGCAAAATTCATTTTTGAAGAGATAATTTGTCAACATGACTGTCCAAAAGAAATACAATCAGATAATGGAACAAAGTTTGTAAATGTAATTATTAGAGAATTGGTGAACCAATTCAACATTAAATGGAAGTTTTCTTTACCATATCATTCACAAATAAATAAAATTATTAAAAGATTTAATAGAACAATGTGCTCAGTATTTCAAAAATATTGTATTGCCTATGAAAATGAATGAGACCAATATATTACAGCTGCTCTTAGGATTCTGAAAAAAAGTCTGGTTCAGTTTGAGCTTGAACCAGACTCGAACCTGACAAAAAGTCACATGCATCTATGTACACCTCACCGCATTTGGATTAGTGTGATCATTAATACCTAATTTGTTAATTGAGTTGTGTAATCTTCTATGTCTATCATAATAAAATCTTTATTAATAATAAATAATAAAATTCATCAATAAAACCATTTAATTTAAATGACAAGTTTTGCTTAGTCGTTGAGGGAAGCGATGTTTCTTTGGCGCGTGTGCAAGTAGTGGATTGGAATTGTGGTAACGGCAGTTCTAATAGTAGCATGATTTCTTCCTACAGTCAGGCTGTGACATTTCACGCGATTGCTTACTCTAAACTCCAGTCATATTTGTCTATTTAGTGAGCATAGCATTATCTTGGCTTTCCGCATATCTGCTCTTCCATAATTTTACTGACTTGGAATTTCTGTCGTTCATTCTTCTTCTGGTGCTCGTCTTTTTAAAATGATTTTTTTATTTTTTTTTTAAGTGTTCCATTTAATATGACCGATTTGGAAGGCAATTTTAAAGACAGTTTTTCTAATTAAGGTAAGTTGACAACTTCTAAAATTTTCTTGTATTACATATTATCCAACCTTGTTTAATATTCTATAGACTTACCCCACATTTCTATAATCTTTTTAATCCTATTTGACATCAATTCGTATAACTTTGTTCAGTAATCAATATCTACACTCTTCCACGTGATTTGTAGTTTTTCCCACAATTCACTTTTGGTAGCAAGTGATCCAGAAAGTTGTCTCATGCACGTATCGACTTCGTTTCATAGGTTTTCGATTGAGTTTAGGTCAGGGGTGGGTGGCCAGTCAAGCAAAGCAATGTCATTGTTAGCGAACCATTTCTTTGCTTTTCCGAAGGTATGTTTTGTCATTATCTTGCTGAAGATAAACTCACTATTCTCCAGCATTTTCTCCCAGACCGTCCCTAAAAAATTATTCAATATGTCTATGTAGACATCTGTATTCATTATTACATCAATTTTTTGCAACTCGCCAACGCTGTCAGCTGTCACGCAACCCCAAACCATAATCGAACTGCCACCAAATTTCACAGTTGGCGTGATATGCTGTTCTTTCAACAGTTCACTGGATTTCTTCCAGCAATATTTTCGGCCGTCTGATCCAAAAATTTAGTACTTGCTTTTGTCAGAAAAAATTACGCGTCACCAATTGTCAGCTATCCAACTTTAGTATTTTTTCGCCCACGTCAATCGTTGTTTTCTATATGTTTTTTGAGGTAAAGCTTTTTTCGCTTGATACTCGTGAATAAGCCGTTTCTTCGGAACATACATCGTATGCTCTCCACCGAAAGATTAATCCCAATTCATTTTTAAGCTCACATTGGACTTCAACGATGGTGATGCATTTTCTGGAGTAGATTAATCATAAAGCATTTCATTCGTAGCGTGCTGAGAGGATTAGTGGATGACTGGATTTTGGCTTGTCGAAACTTCTGGTCTCTTCTTTCTTATGGTATATTCTATGAACAGAAGCTAAATCCACCTTCTTTGATGTTGCAATTTCCTGGATCAAATATTCTTCCTGTCGGAGGGTGTGTATTCGGCGCATTTTTCTTGTGAAATTCGAGTTATTGAAGGTAAAAATTTGATTAATATTTGTTGCGTGTTATGGAAATGTATTTTATTTATAGTAAATGAGAATTCCAAAGCATTTGTACTTAGCTTTTATAGCCTTCCATTCACTAGTATATTTGGTCATATTAAATGGAACACCAAAAAAAATTAAAAATATCATAATCTTTTTTGTTAGAAGATAGATCAAAATAATTTTTGATTCATCAATACTCAAAGTATTAGTGAATCAAATTGACCTGTCGCTATTTTTTTTTTCGGTGTTCTGTTTCTTTTGTGAGTCACTGTATGATAATACAACGTGCGTGGTCTTAAAGCTACGATATGTGCATGAAAAGCACAATTTCTATATATTAATAAAAAAATTCAGTAAATCAATACACACATATTATTTCTGTATATGGGATAGTCTCGATTGATTTTTTAAAAAAATAATTATATTTATAATATACATATTGATATCTATTAACATTAAAGTATGTCCGCTCATAATATACTAATCGATTTATCTAATAATGAACCCAAATTGCAAGAAGTAGATGTAAATGATCACGATTATATGAAAATTTACACACATCTAGAGTTAGAAATGTACAAGGATTGGATCAAAAATATTCTTCCGAATATTTCTGGAGCTTATTATATTCGAAAAGACAATCGTGAAAGCTCAGAATATAAATTGAACGAAAGATATGTATGTTATTGTAATGAAAATTCAAGATCCACAGCTAGTACAATGAAACGAGCCATTAAACCCTTATCAGATCACAATTTTTCTCGTTCTATTCAAAAGTTATCGAAGAAGCTAGGATACAAATCATATTTACGAGTATTAAAACGTCATAATGAAAAAGGAAATGCTGTTCATATTATTCACTATACATTTCATAATGGGCATACTCCTGGTACTGATAAAGATCTATAATACTTACATATATCTCAACAGGTAAAAAAATGGATCCATGAAAGAGCAAAAGATGAAATAAAACCTTCCCAAATAGTATCAATATTTCACCAACGTATTAATCAATTTCACGAAACTGAAAACTTAAGCTTTTTGTCTTTAACACAAAAGCGAGATATGTATCTATCTTATATTGATATGTATAACATCATTCATGAAGAAATAAAGAACGTGATCTTTCTAGGTAGTAAAGAGACAGATTATAATGAAAGCACTTCTATTAAGGAGTGGGTCATTTTATCAAAGGAAGATGGATCTCATATCTGTAGCAACCTGGTCTGGGAGTCATCCTTAGGCTTCATGTTCAGATTTCAAACTGAATTTCAGAAGAATATGTTGAAGTCAAAAAGTGTGCAGACTGTTTGCATAGATGGCACGCATGAAACAACATCACATAAGATGAATCTCTTTACGCTACTTATACGTGACGATGAAGGTGGACAAGGTATATCTATTGCACATTTGATATCAGAAAGAAAAGCAGGAGAGACATTAATTATTTGGCTTAAAGCCATTAAAAGTCAAAATCAAAAATGGGAACTACATACCTTTCTTACCGATTGTGATGACGCACAACAAAACGCAATTTGTATAGTATATCCTAAAGCTAATATCTTGTTATGTCAGTGACATGTCAAGAATGCCTGGCAAAAAAATAAAAGTAAAATTAAAGCCAATGATAATTATCTTGAGACTCGAGAAAAGAATGAAAATAATGATAATCTTTTTAAACGATCTGAAAAGCAAGTAATCCAAAAAGTGGCATTGGATGAACTTGATGCAATTATGAGAATTTGAGACATTTCCCAAACGCAAAGTAAATTTGATGAATATTTTGCTTGGTGAACAGTCTTTGGTGAAAAGAACTGGATAAAATATATAAAAGGAGAATATCAAGAAAACTGTAAAAAATGAATTGATGCATATCGTTTATATGAACATCAAGAGATGAATACGACGAATTTTATTGAAGCTTGACATAAAAAATTAAAATATACTCATCTGGAAGCCAAAAATAATCATCGAATAGATACTTTAATTTGAATTTTGCGAGCTGCTATAACAGATATGCAGTTTGAATGTGAAACCGTACGTTTAATGATTGGAAGAATGAAGCCTAGACAAAAAGAACAATGACGTCATAAGCTTGCTGGATTGGAATTAGATGTTTTTAATTTACCTGGTAATCAATATTACCTTATAAAATCAGCAACCGGTAATAATTATGAGGTCAATATTAAAGATCATATTGATATACAAAAAAATAATGACTTAAAACTAAGGATACTTGCCTAAATCCTTTCAGAAAAATATCGTCATAATTTCGACGAGTTACATACTAATTGTTAATTAGAATTTCGACATAATTTCAGTTATGACAGATTTCAAAATTCATCAGAATTTTGACAGGTTATTTACTAATAGTTTATTATAATTTTGACAGAATTTAGATAGTCACTAAGAGATTTCGGCAAGCAATCTTACTTAAAACCAGTACATTTTGAGTGTACATGCTCAGATTTTAGATTTCGTGGAATGGCATGCAAACATATTTTTGCTGTATGTCAAAAGTTTTATTTGATACCAATTCCATCACATATTATTTCTGTTCAGAATACAAAAAAAACTGAAAAAATTTGCGATGTTACATTTGATAACTGGGTCGAAGCAATTCAGAAAGTTTGGAATAAATATAATCAAGTAAATTGAAACTGGATGACTGATGCTGATTTAGAAGTAATTGTGGATGCAGGAATGAAGAGAAAGTGTGAGATTTTTTTATATGATGAATGTGTGATTCCGGACTCTGAAATAAATGGAACTAATTTTCATATCAAAAAACAGAGACATTAAAGTTATTAACCAAGAATTAATATTTTCTATGTTCTTTCTTGCTTCTTTTATAATAATAATCAATAATATTATTAAATAACTTTAGTCTAATTAATATTATAAATAAAGTTTAAAAAATCTTTTACTAATAATAATACAAGTTATCACAATAAATACAAAATCAATAGATAGAACAAAAAGTTTCTTACCAATTTAATGCAACAATAGTTCACTGAATGAAAACCTGAGTTACAAGAAGAAAAAGAGAGTTAAAAAAGAAAATTCAGAAATAAAAAAGGAAACTGAATCATTATTTTGAGGGAGTACCAACCTTTGATTAATGGAATGGAAAACAAAACTCTCAATGAACATGCCAAAATAGTTCAAAATGAAATTAATTTCTAAACTAATAATCATATTCACTATTTCTCTTAGAGTTGGTGAACTTGTAATACACAATTTAAAAAGACGAGCACCAGAAGAAGAACGAACAATAGAAATTCCAAGTCAGTAAAATTATGGAAGAGCAGATATGCGGAAAGCCAGGATAACGCTATGCTTACTAAATAGACAAACATGACTGGAATTTAGAGTAAGCAATCGCGTGAAATGCCACAGCCTGACTGTAGGAAGAAATCATGCTATTATTAGAACTGCCGTTACCACAATTCCAACTCACTACTTGCACATGCACCAAAGAAACACTGCTTCTCTCAATGACTAAGCAAAACTCACCATTTAAATTAAATGGCTCTATTACAGCATTTTGCTAAAGTTAAAAAATAATGGTTGATGAATTTTATTATTTATTATTGATAAAGATTTTATTATGATAGATGTAGAAGATTACACAACTTAATTGCCAAATTAGGTATTGATGATTATACTAATCCAAATGTAGTGGGGTGTACATAGATGCACGCACAAAAAGTCCAGTTCAAAAATTTGAACCTAATTAAAAGTCTGGTTCGAGTTCAGTTTGAATTTTGAACCTGATTTGAACCTGACCAAAAGTTTGGTTCGAGTTCAAGTAAATGGTTATTAATATTCTAAGTAAAGTTGTAGATCGTAATATGAGCTACAAATTGATATAAGATAGTTAATATTTAGGATGAATATTTAAGAAGTTATATG